CATGTGACATTTATCTTTACAAATAGAGTTAGTGAACTTTAATGACTTTTATAGTATCATCTCAAAAACTCATAAATCAATCATAAAATCATTATATTAAAACAAACTTTAAAAAATGATAATAAATCAATATAATACAAGGATAATTTGAAATACAAATTGGCAATTATATAAATGCATAATTTGAATTTTGTTTATCATTGGAAAATTAAAAGAGTTCAAACATGGACATAACAAGTTTTTTATAATCACAAATTTAATTAATTCTAACATACTTGTTGAGATAATCTATAAAGTCGAGTCTAAATAATTTTACAATAAAAATTATTTGTGTTAATACAAACATATTTTCACACAGAATATTTAGGGACAAATTTTAGAATCTATGATTTATATTGTTTTCAATTCTCATATCACGTCACATTACATATAAATTTCAAAATAAATAAATTTAAATTTAAAAACTCAAGAATATTTAAATAAAATAATAAAATATTCTTGTGTTGAATATATAAGGAATTTTTTAATATAAATTAAATCATGTTTTTATTTCAAAATAAAATAAATATTTTAAATTGATATATCATGAAATAAAATATATTTCCTTTATATCATGCTGAAAACATTTATTGAATATAAGTAAAAATCAACCACGTTTATCTTTTTAATATATCAAATTTGCTAAATTTTAGAACTAACAGTTATGTCAATAATAAATTTGATCACTATCAAATTTTATAATTATCAAACTACCACTGAATTAATAATAAAGAATATACATTACATGTAAAAAAAATCAGTCCATACACATTACAATAGAAAGACTCAAATATATTCCATGACACTGACAAAATAAACCGCAAGTCATATCCAATATTGACATATTCAATTTATTAAAAATTAAAACAATTTATAATTAGTATGAATATCCAATATTGACATATTCAATTTATTAAAAATTAAAACAATTTATAATGAAATAAAAACGAAATTAATTTTATAAAAAAACATGAAATTATTCTAGTAGAAAGAATGAAACCAATAAAATTTAATATCTAAGTCATAGAAATAGTTTTACCAACTTTCATGTTATAGTTATATCACATCTCACGCATACAGAACAAGTATAAATGATGATTTCATATGCTTTTCTCAAAACCATAATATGCATTTAAACATTGATTTGATACTAATTGAAAGATCTAATTAAATAGAATAGACACAAATTATAATATACTATTGTATTAAATAATAATAGACAATGATAAGAACAGCGTACCTTGTAGAATTAAAGAGATTACCATTATGAAATGAATAGGAGAGGATTACTATCCTCATTATTATTTGGGATTTTTAGAGTATATTAATTGTCTATTGGGGTGACACTAAAATAGCTAAACGACTGAGGGCGGGGACCTCTTACATTCTGGACTTAACTGAATGGTCCAATCCATCACGGTCCATTCAGACACAAAACTCAATCAAATAATTCATCAATAGTTAGTGTTTAATAACAATTGACCATATTATAATTAATTAATAATTGATTATGTTAATCCATATTAGATTGATTAAATAACTAGTCTAACATTATGATCAAAAATGATCAAATAAAATATTTTGGAGATGCATCTTCAGATACACCCAAATAATATACAAAGATGCATCTTCAGACCATAACTTGTTCAATATGAGGTGGATATTCGAAAAAACGAAGTCTGGTGTGATTTTAGGTGTGATCAGAGATGTATATTCGAACACATTAAATGTATTTTTGGGTTTCAGAGGTGTGTGGTGCACATTAAGGGTGTAATGAACATGTCTATTATGCAAATTAATTATAGTGGATTCGGATAGGTGGATTTGTAATTATTGAAAAATCATTATCTGAATCAGTTAACATCGAATTTTCATCATTCATCACACCATCATCATCAAAACAAAGTCTTTTCTGATGAATGTAAACTCCATCCACATATATTGATTTTTCAAGCTTCATCTTCTTTGAAATTAAACAAGCACATGGAACTTCATACATATTCCTAAGTGTACATCCACATAATGAGCTATTTGAACCTGTTTTATTTGCTCGCTCAACTTTGCAAAAAATAAAATTCAATGCCGCTCGAGATACGTTGTTAACCAACTGTGAATAAATGATGTTGTCTTTGAATTAGTGTTCTAACACAGTAATGGTCCGACCAAAAAATGTATACATCTCATCGTGTTGGTTTAAAAGCGTTTGGTTCACGGTGTCCCAATCTCGACAAAAAACACCTTTACTATTTCACAACCAATTCTTCAACCTAAATATGCAGAATCAACTCTGTTAGTTGTTGTATTGCCAAAATGTCGAACATGATCAGTCCAAGCACAAACAATCTTCTCTTTAACCTGATCCAAAATAGTGCCTTCAACATATTTTAGTAAATCTGAATATCTCTCACATGCACGCATACACGCACGCAGATTCAACATATATTTCTTTCGTTTAAGAATTTATTATACAATTTCATGCATCCATTACATTTTCAACCACCACACCAGGTTTGACCATTTTTCCATCTTCCAGTTTGACTTGTTTGGTGCCTAACGCAGGTTTTACTCGACTTCTCACTGATTACATGATACTTAAAAAGTAATGCAGACAATGTAGGAAACACTGTTGCAACCAAATTCATCAATGTGGTGCCGCGATCAATGATCATTACCCGTGACACATTTTCTTGGTCCTTCAACATAGTCTTACACATTGCTAAAGCCCATATAACATTGTCCTCTTTTTCAGATTCGAAAAATACAAAATCGACTGAAAGTCATCTCCGTAGAAGTGACACCAACAATTTATAAAAGTGGTAGTCTATAATTGTTTGTTTTGTATGTTGAATCAATTATGAGCACAATGAGAAAAATGTTGAACAACTTGACAGAATCAGAATGACTCCAAAATATATCTCGAACTGTGAATTTATCCTCATAAACTCTATACCTAGAAACATATGTGTCATCTTCCAAAAGCTTCAAATTTTTTTGCATCTTAGATCTTAGTCCTCTTACGACCTTGTTGTTTCGAGCATGTACATATATTTGCTTGATATTTGAAATATTTAGAGGTCTTTTTTGCTTCAAAGACGCAAATATGTTTTTTGGCGCCACCATGATTAATGTCATGTCCAAAATAAGTTCTCTCTCTTCTGGAACAAGTTGACATACAATGGGATGACTGACTAGCTTGTCAGTCAAAGCATTATTATGTATATCAGAAATCACATTAAATTTCTATGTTTCATCTGTCATATGATATTCGCGCAATTTAAATGAACACTCACATTTTATCAATCATGTGTCATCTCGTTTCAACTTACTAATCTGTGGTTAACTTCTTTTGTATCTCATTGTTACAAATGCTTGTCTTCTATTCAAACCATTATCGGATCTTCCAATTACAACACTATATCCTAATTTCTTAGTCTTCATGCAGACCCACTGTAGCATATGCTCACAAACAATAAACTCTTGTTTATGCGTAATTTGTGCACGGACATCTATCTCAACACAATCGGTCGAGCACCCAATTTAACATTATCATTCATTTCATCCGGTTTAACATCATGTTTCACTTCAATCGAATTAACATTCACACTCACAATAGATTTAGGAAACATATCCGGGTGCACCATATCTAATACAACAAATTAAAAAAAAAGGTTTTAAAACTTTAACTATCAGAATAATCTAGATATGCATCTCCAGACCACACCAAACTTTGTTCGAAGATACATATCTGAACTCAACGTTCATTTTTCAGCTCAAAAACCAAATTAACGCAAAGAATGAGAGATGAAATGAATGAATTTTACCTGCAATTCTAAGGTGGTGTTTTATCCAATTTTGCGCTTGACATTTTTGGAAATGTATCTTCAGAAATATCACTGAGTCGTTAATCAAATAAACTCAGTGAATAAAAACACCATAAATAAGTACATGAGATATTTCGGAGACGCATCTCTGGATATACCCAAATAATATACGAAGATGCATCTTCAGACTATACTTTGTTCAATATGGGGTGAATATTAGAAAAAACGAAGTCTGATGTAATTTTAGGTGCGGTCAGAGATGTATATTCGGACACATTAAATGTATTTTTGAATTTTTAGAGGTGTGTGATGCACGATTGTAACGAACATTTCTATTATACAAATTAATTATGATAGATTCAGATAGACAGACTTATAGTTATTAAAAAGTCATTATTTAAACCTGTTAACATCAAATTTCATTGATTTAATTGAAAAAATGTCATATCCAAAGTTGAATTTCAATTTTGAATTTTTCCAATTCAAACACCACCACTTATATTACATATTATATTAGCTGTAATCTAAGTTTAATCAAATTCCTCTCATTTTTCTTCATCTTTTTATTAATATCAACCCTTATCCTTATCAACGTGTCCTCCCACACATATAGCTGCACGAATACCATACGGAACTTTCTTTTACTTTTTTAAGATTTCGTATATCTTTCTTATTATATAAGTATTAAAACAACTAATAAATTTTGTTATGTCTAATATTATTCTTATTTTTCCTTTCTTTAATATAACTTCTTTTCAATAAAAAAACCAGTAATATTATTGTCAAATTAATAGATAATGTTGCACTGAATTTTGTAAACAATATTTAAAAAAAAATTGTTGAGCAAATGACAATTTAAAAGAAAATCATTTTCATAATTTTGTTCAAAATTAAAATAAAACCAACATGTATAACAAGATCACCGATTACGTGAAATCATAAAATTTGACAAATTCATATCCGTATAAATTTTGACAAAAAAATTGAATAGTCAAATCATGCACCATTCAGCAGCCATAAGATTGCCACCAAAAACTAGTATAAATACCCCAATTTATATATCACAAACACAACAATTGCAACAACAAAAAAAGCACACACACATTCTTATACAGATCCAAGAATCAAAAAGGCAAAACAATGTCTGATGATGAATGCAAAGGTAAGAGGTCATGGCCAGAATTGGTTGGAGTGGATGGAAAGGTTGCAGAGGGTAGAATTGAGAAGGAGAATCCATTGGTGAATGCTATCATTGTTCTAGATGGATCTTTTGTCCCCCTTGACTTCCGTTGTGACAGAGTTTGGGTTTGGGTTGATAAACATGGAATTGTTACACAGATTCCAAAAATTGGATAGAAACTTTCTACACTCATATATATATATATGCTCCAAGTCATAAATGTAATAGTGTTTGAATATATAATAATAATAATAAGGAGCTATAGTTTCTTTGCAATTACTATATACTACTAAATGTTATTTAAACAGATATGTGTACATGTTCTGCAATGTAAACGTGTGTATGTTTTTCATGCGTGTAATAACAATAATATCAAGCAGATTTGGTTTAATCAATGTGCAAGTAGTCTAACAAGGATTTGTCAAATTAAGAACAATAACTCATATTCTTTATCAAATCATCTGCTTTGGATGATTTCACTTTTATGTTCCCTTCATAGTTCATAAAATGTGAATAAAAAATAGTTTTTGTTGATTAAGTGTCAACAATCTTTTCATATTCATTGAAAAAAAATGACAATTCCATGAATTCTTTGGGCTTATGGTGCAATTTATAGATTTTATTTTGAGCGTGATCCATAGAGAAATAATCAACATTTTTTTCATAATCATTTTTAAGATGCACAAAGCTATCACATGCTAGCTTGCATAAATCTAGATGTTATTTTCTTTATTGTTGTCATTTGAATGATCAACCATGTTTTTTTTCAAATATATATTTATTCTTACAATGTTAATGTTGGGGTTGATTGAAAATATATAGGTTGATATTCTTTAGGGTGGAATATGATTGTTGGTAAAGACAATGAAAGTTTATGTATTATTTTTCAATAAAGGTGGAAATTGTTGGAGTTGGTTGAAAATATGCATGTTGAAAAAGTCTCATATTACTTAGTTTTGTGAATGAAGAGGAAGTTCAAGACTACATATAAGATACAAGTTTTTTGAAGTTCCACATCGTTTAGTTTTGTAAAGGAAGTGAGAGTCCAATGATATATATAGGATTCAAGTTCTTCATTCCAAAATGCATCAGTCAAAAGCACAATGCTATATATAGGATTCACATTCTTCATTCCAAGATGCACCAGTCAAAAGCACTTTAAGCTTGTATTTGACTTTCTTTGGTCTCTTATGCTCTTGTATTAGAGTGTTGTGAGATGTAATTAAATATGTGTTTTGAGGGTGTGAGTGTACTGGGTACCTGAGTTAGTTGAGGGTATATTATGTGTTGTAATAATTTACACATAGTGTTATTCTCTGGTTGTCTATTAACAACAGTCATTTCCACGTTATGTTCTTCGGTTGTGATTGTGTTCCTCTTTTTTCTCTATGTTTTGATATGCTTGTTTTTTCCCAACAACTGGTATCAGAGCTTTTGGTTTGATCCAAGAATAAATGTTATTAGTATGCTCTATGGCTGCGGTTTTATCTGATCTTCCACATCAAAAAAGAAGGATAGTGTTGTGAAAGAGTTGTTGAGCTACAGTAACAAATTCTACTGTGCAGGTCGGGCTAGAGAAAATTGATGGAAGAATTTTTTTTTACTTGTGGAAAGTTCAAGTTAAAGATGTGTTGATACAATCAAGATTACACGAGGTGCAAGATTATGTCGGTTGTTGAAGAGCTTCCTGCCAACAAGGAAGTTGCACCATAATATCTCAACTTGATTTTCAAATTGTGAAAATTCTTGAAGTGATTTAACTTCAAGTGAAGTATACTCTTCTTTAGGTGGAGTATGATAGTTTTTTAAAACTATGATTATCAGTGATGACAATGTGAAATTCTTGAAGTGCTTTATCTTCAAGTGAAATATATTTTTCATGAGAGAGTATGATAGTTTTTAAAACTATGATTGTCAGTGAAGACAATGTGAACACTCTTGGAGTGGTGTAGCTTCAAGTGAATATACTCTTTATTGTAGAGTATGATTGTTGATGAAGACAATAAAAATTTATATATTATTTTCAATCAAGGTGGAGATTGTTGGGGTTGATTAAAAATATATATGTTGGTACTCTTTATGGTGGAGTATGATTGTTGGTGAATATAATTGTTCTGGCCTGGGCCCGACCTCGGTCCAGCCCAATACCTCGCGCGACCCAATAAGCGAATTGGCCACGCCGGGCACGCGCGCCCCGCAGGACGGGCGGAACGCACCACCAGACACTGGCGACGCATCCAACGGCTCCTCGTCGTCCCCTCTTATCAGTCGAACAGGACGCACCCCAGCGCATCGAAATGAGGCCTTGGTTCCTCCCCTCCGCGGGGAGGAACAAAGTCCTCCGTGGACCTCCCGAGCTCCCCTCCGCAGGGAGAACAACGTCCTCCGTGGACCTCCCGAGCTCCCCTCCGCGGGGAGAACGACGTCCTCCGGGGAACCTCCCGAGCTCCCCTCCGCGGGGAGAACAACGTCCTCCGGGGAACCTCCCGAGCTCCCCTCCGCGGGGAGAACAACGTGCCCGGTGCACGTTCTCCACGTGCTCCCCTCCGCGGGGACACGTCATCAACCAACCGCCCACCTCCGAAAGAGCAGGTCAAACCCACTTTCCGGAAATCAAGGAGCAGTTGGACTAGGGCGAAGACCACGTCCTGGTCTTCACTACGCCACGTAAGTGTTGCACCCTAAAATTTGACCAACTTGTTTTACCTGATTTGTGTTTTCATAGCTTTATCATTTGCATAGTAGATCATGTACATAGTTCATTCATTTGCATAGCATAGCATGGGCAAGCCATCCAACAAGGGATCAAGTTCCATTTTCATCTCAAGAAGCATATCCAAAAGGGGTTTTATTCAAGCCCAAGTCTATTCAAGTCACCAAGAAAGAAATTGAAGCTTTGAGAAGTTAAAAGGTCAAGCAGTGGATCTATCTCCTATCTTGAGGGTATTTGAAGATCATCAAAGAGGTTATGAGCTATGAATTGAGGCATGGAATGTGTATATACCTCATGGAAGACCTAAAGGGTCATTTTGAAGATGAGATAAGTCATTGGTATGGTTACAAGAGCTACAGTTGAAGACAGTCAATTAGGGTTTCATCTAGGTCAACCCTAGGTCAAAAGCTTGATTGAAGGGCATCCAGGCCTATTTGAAGGATGTGGGATTCATCATTTGATATGTGGATATAGATGTGGTGTTGTGCCAAGGAGAAATCAAAAGAAATCAAGAAGAAGAGAAGTTTCTAAATTAGGGTTTCTGTGTAAAATCCCCTGATTTAGGTCAAACTTCCAAGCAAAATAATTCAAAATACAAGCCTCAACTGGATCTTTGGCCAACATGAATATTGTAGAGCATCTCAATAACTTTAATTTGAGTGGTGGAAGTCATCAAGGAGATTTATAGAACTCAAGTTATGGTCCTTGCAAGTTACAGGTCATCTGAGGACACTGAAATTTATCTGTGAAAGTTACTTGACTACCAAGCAACTTTTTCCCCACAAGCAGTTTTCAAATGGATTTTTGGTAAACATGAAAGTTGTTCCTCATGGTCTTAGCTTTCTAAAAAGGTATGGTATGCCTCATTCTGATTTGTGGAACTCTACTTATGATCTTGACAAGCCAGGGGTATTTTGGGAAAGTAAGATTACAGGTCATTTCAAGCATATGCCCAAAACTCCTACTTCCAAACTTCAAATGAAAAAATGTTCAACATCAAACTTGCTCAAAATGATGTTTTGAGTCTAATTAAGAGGTCATGATATTTTGGAATTGCATGGAACTCAAAATGACAAAATTGACCAAACTAATGGTGGAAGTTAAGGCATAAAAGTGACCAAATTTGGAGATTTTTTATCCAAAGGCAAAACAAGGCATGTGATATGTCAATTTGAAGGGAAATCCTATTTTAAGATCATTGGCATCATTAGTTTTTTGGTTTAAGGTCAAATTGAAGGACTTATCTTTGGTTGCTTGTAAAAGAAGATACACTTGCCAAATCAAGCTAGGGTTGAATTACAAGGCAAAGGACCACTCTAACACACTCTATTTCTCATTTGGAGAGATTTTCCAACCATATTCAAGTGCTGCAACAAGGCAAGCTGCAACTGGTTTTTTGAACTTACCATTTCAATTTATCATAGCATGAGATATCCAACTTCTCCTTGGATCATTCCAGCAATCTCTAGAAGCTTCTAATCTCATCTATAAAGCCATTAGAATTGATCAGAATCAGGGTTGGGCTTCATTTGGTGCAGAACACAGAGATTGAACTTCATCTTCTTCCATTACAATTCAGTTTCGATTTCTCCATTTTCTTCACAATCAATTCAATCTTTTGAACCCATTCAGTTCCATTATCATTTCTGAGAGTGTACCAATCAAAATCAGAGTGAATCATTGGCTAAATCGTGTTCTTGAGGTTTCACTTTCACCACTGTAATTGAAATTCTGTTACATTGATTCAAGCTGTTTGAGCAAGATCCAGTGCATACAGAAGCAATAATTCAACACATTGAACGATTCTGGAGCAGGACAAGCATTGGATTGAAGCTTTTCATCATTTACACAGGTTAGTAAAATTCACACTCTGGCTCGAATTAGGAGTAGTTATCATGATTTCTTAGGTTAGAAGCATAGTATGTGGTTAGGTGGTACTTTCTGGAAAGTTTGGATCAATTTAGTGAAGATTGTTAGGTTGACATGATTTCTGTTTCAATCAAGAACATGATGAATATGGAGTTAGAATCTTAGTTCTTTAGTTAGAATTGATCAGTATGGAATAAGGAAGAGATTGAGTACAATAATTGGAAGAATGGTGATGTTTGAATTTTGGAGCAAATTTGGAGTGAGGATCGTGTTTGAGGTTAGGGTTCATATCAATTAAATTCAATACCATAGTTGGAACCAGGGAAGAATTCTGAGCATGATAGTGTTTTACAAATTAAGTTTTGGTTGAGAATTGAGGATACACGATTAGCTGCAGTGGATATGTTCTTGGACATTCATCAATGGAGTTGGCTCCAATTCTATTTTCAAATGAGGAAGACGATCTATCATCCATTGGATCCTGATTAGACTTTGACCAAAAATGCCATCGTGTGGCTATCATCGCATCCCAGTTTGTGAAGGATTTGCTGAGAATCAAAGCACAGTCATTTCACTTATTAGAAGCTATGGGCT